CCCCCAGTCTTCTGCCCCTCAGTCTTCTGCCCCTCAGTCTTCTGCCCCTCAGTCTTCTGCCCCTCAGTCTTCTGCCCTTCAGTCTTCTGCCCCTCAGTCTTCTGCCCCTCAGTCTTCTGCCCCTCAGTCTTCAGCTTAGCACAGATGGCTCTGATAACCCGGACCAACCACCATGCCCTGGAGCTTCCCAAAGACCCTGAATCTCAGTTAGGATGGCATTGTGATCAGAGATATGGATGCCCATCAAACAAAGTCTCCAAGGCCCCTTAGGGCAACTCAGACAGGCAACAGGTTGCCCACACTCCCAAGGCGGTTGCTGCTTGTAGCCATGGCATCCTAGGCCCCCATGAGGAAAGTTACCCAGAGGCCTCGTTGGCTGCAGGCACGGACCGTAGTTCTCACATCTCTTTCATCTTCTGTGTGTGGAAGGAGGCTGCTTGCCCGGTGCATCTTTGCCTGTGTGTGCATAAGCACAGCTCTATAAAGGGAGAGACTTTTCCCATCTGACATACATAGACATTAGGGTGAGTAATCCTGTCCCCCCGGGTTGCCAGGCAGTTCTGGTATTTAGATTGATTTTTAGCTCATGATACTTACAGAGATTTAATTATCCCAGAAATCTAATGTTCGTGTTAATTTGGGAGAGGAGAGCGATCTCATTTCTTAAGCAGAGCCAAACATCTTGAGGGCTGCTTGATTTGTAGCTGCAGAAAAACTGCCAGCAAAACTCCGGAGCAAGCTGTTCTACCCTTGCAACCCGAGATGGATGGAGAGGGGATTCCGGCATTTCCAAAGGCTCTCGAACTCTCCCAAGACACCTAAAATATTTTGCTAGAGAAAAACTGGAGGATTTGCCAGGCAGTGGTGGCACACGCCTTTAATCCCAGCACTTGGGAGGCAGAGGCAGGCGGATTTCTGAGTTCAAGGCCAGCCTGGTCTACAGAGTGAGTTCCAGGACAGCCAGGGCTGCACAGAGAAACCCTGTCTCGAAAAACAAAAAGCATAAAGCCTTAGAGCTGCTGGGTCAGCAAGCCTACTATTGCTTTTGTTTTTGAAACAGGGCGTCATGTAGCCCAGCCAGGCCTTATTAGCTTGTTGCTGAGAGCAACATTGAATTCCTAATCCCCCTGCCTCTACCCCTCAGGTGCTGTACCACCATATCTGCCTCTGGTTTATTTTCAGATGAAACAGACCCACAAACAAAACAAAAGAAGCAAAATGCTGGACAAGATGCTGTGCCTTTAAGCCCAGCACTCTTAGAGTCAGACACAGGTGAAAGTCTGTGAGTTCGAGGGCAGCCTAACCTATAGAACAACTTTCAGATCAGCCAGGGCTACACTGTGAGACTCTCAAGGGTTTAAAAAAAGCAAAACAGACAGTGAACAGGCTCAGCGGTTAAGCTGCTGTTGCAGGGGATCTGAGTTTTGATCCCAGAGCTCACAACTGTCCGTGATTCCAGTCAGTCCATTCTAGGGGATCCAATGTGCTCTTCTGCATGCTGAAGGCTTCAGGGATGCATATGCAGGCAAAACACACATACACATGAGGCAAATATAATTGTAAAATTTAAAAAAAAAACCTCCACACATAGAACTTGCTCTAGTTAATTCTCTTCTTAATGGTTCTGTAGCCAAAGCAATGGTTACAGGCCAACGTAACGGGCTTGACGTTCTAGTTGCCAATTCAAGCCTTTAGCCCCATTTTATATAAAGCACAGACAATAAACCATGTCTGTTACCAGCAAAGTGACTGGTTTTCCTCATGTCACATCAGCTTCTGTGATCAAGCTGTCCGGGCAGGCGAGAGTCCTAGTGAAAGCCTGATTCAGGTTGCTCGGTCTCCTCAAGATCCTGACTGGCCATGTCCTATCGTAACCTACTTGTAATTATAATGATGCTATTTTTAAAATTTAGGTCCTTCCCTTTTTGTAGACAAGGGTCTGTTTATTCCAGGCTGGCCCTTAAGCCAGTCACATAGCCAAGGATGGCCTTGGACTTCTGATCCTCTTGTCTCTGCCTCCTGAATACTGGGATAATAGGCATGTACCTCTATGGCTAGGTTTATGTGGTACTGGGGATCAAAACCAGGCAAGCATCCTACCAACTGAGCTATAGTGAGAGGACAGGAACTGATTTTTAAAGAATGTATAATATGAACACTATATTATAACTTTTTGTTTTTGTTTTTCGAGACAGGGTTTCTCTGTATAGCCCTGGCTGTCCTGGAACTCACTCTATAGACCAGGCTGGCCTTGAACTCAGAAATCTGCCTGCCTCTGCCTCCCAAGTGCTGGGATTAAAGGTGTGTGCCACCACCGCCTGGCCATTATATTATAACTTAAGAACATCATAATATGAATTATTTCATTTTGGCATAAAACCTTCAGACATTGAAAATCCTTGGCAGAGAAAGGGATACTAGCCATGGTGGTTCAGACCTGTGACCCCAGTTCTTGGGAGGTAGAAGCAGGAGGATGGGGAGTTCAAAGTCAACTCGGACCACATGACCACATAGTGAGTTCAAGACCCTGCCAGACATCAACCACTTCCACCAAGAGAAACTACAAATTTGAGGCCAGTTTGTGTGTGTATGTGTGTGTGTGTGTGTACATATATAGAGGCTTTTCTCAGAAGAAGAAAAGGAGGAGAAGAATGTCAGACAGAAGGAAAAGGACACTAGATGTGCATCTTGCCACTGTGGTTTCTAGAACCTGTAACGACTGAGAACCGGTCCTGCTCTGGGCCCGAAGGCCAGAAAAACCAAACAAAGCTGTGTCATTCGCTCAAGCAAGGAGGGGCGATGCAGCCCTGGAGCTCATTAAATAAGTGGGGGAAACGTTAGTTCTGTTCTTTAGGAACCACAAAGTACTGAAACTGTGGCGAACAAAGATTCCGAGGTGAGGAGGGTGAGAGGGGAGGGCCGTTCATCCTGTTTCTGTTTTGGTTCCAGGGAAGTCGGGTTTCCATTGCATGGGATGCAACTGGATATTTCCTCCGTCCTCCGTGGCTGGGACCTGGCACACACTGTTTCCTGGCACTCGAAGAGCGGCAAGTCCCAGCAGCGAGGTCAAATCCATTTTTGGAGCCAAAAAACAGCATTCCTTTACAGTTAGTTAGCTTTACAACCGCCAAGGCCGCTCCTGCCTGCCTGGTCTAGAGAGTCATCTACCGGCAACTAAGGGAACTGTCCCAATTGCCCAGACCTCTGAAGACAGGTCCGTGTTCATACAGATTGCATTACATCCCTCACTAATTACACTCTAATTGATGATGTCTTAGGGTTTCTATGGCTGCGTTGAAGTATCATGACCAAGGCAAGTTGGGAATGAAAGGGCTTATTTATCTTACGCTTCCACATCACTGTTCATCATCGAAGGAAGTCAAGACATGAACTAACTTAAGCAAGGCAGGAATCTGTGCGCAGGAGCTGACACAGAGGCCATGCAGGGGGCTGCGTACTGGCTTGCTCCCTATGCTTTCTTATAGAAAGGACCACTGGCTCAGGGGTAGCACCTCAATGAGCTCGCTTCTCCTCCATCCATCATGAATTTAAAAAATGCCCAGCTGGAGGTGGTCGCTCTCGCTCTAATCCCAACACTTGAGAGGCAGAGGCAGAGGCAGGCAGATCTCCCTGAGTTCAAGACCAGCCTGATCTACAGAGAAAATTCCAGGACAGCTAAGGTTATTCAGAGAAATCTTGTCTTGAAACAAAACAGAGAGAGAGAGAGAGAGAGAGAGAGAGAGAGAGAGAGAGAGAGAGA